CTTGAATTGACCCTTGAAGGGTATTTCTGCCCAAAGCCTCAGCAACCTGGCCCCATCAGTATAAATGTCCAGAATGTCTGCAGTATTCAGATAAATCAACATGTGCTCTAGCAAGTGCACCTAATGAGCACCAGCTGTGGGCACATAGTGGCGAGGCCCTAGAAGTAGAGCCTGCAGAGAACACAGTGACTCTGACCAGAGCAAGAGAGTAGTGTATAATGAAGAGTTTCCCAAACATGTCTTTTTTTTTTTTTTCCAAAAAGCTTAATGGACAATGTTGCTTCCTCCTTTGACTTTGCTAAAGCACTCAGCAGGCACATTCTGGTGAATAATATTTTCTCATCTTGAGCGACTTGAGTCCCACCCTACTTTGATATATCACAGCAGTTAGAAATATGAATGAGGGGAGATATCTCAGCAAATATTCCTCTACTCCAAGTGAACTCCTCCTGGCTGTGGAGGGGAGACCAGATGTGTCTTGTCATAAGAATCACCTGGCTGGGGGAGGGGAGTGCAAGGCAAACATACAGAGTCCCAGGACCTTGCTGACGTATAGACTGACCAGGGCCCTAGAGATTCAGATTCTGTAAATCTGGGACAGCCTTGGAATCTGTGTGTTTAGCAAATGCCACAGTAGATCTTGATGATAAGGCAAGCTTGGGAAACAGTAGGGTGGGATGGAGTCGGAATCTGGCTCCAGGTCAAATTTGGCCTCTGCCGTGTAATTGCTGAGTAGCCTTAGACAAGTTACTTAACTTCTCTGAGACTCCAATCCCTCACCCATAAAATGTAACTAATAATAATACCCACTTCAGAGTGTTTTTGTGAGGATAAAATGCGAAAATTCATAAAACGTGCTTAGTACAGTGCCTCGTGCATTTTAAGCTCACAGTAAATGTAAGATATAAACAACACACACTTGTTTTTTACTTTCCCATCAGCCAGCCCCTTCAGAAGCAGCAGGACAATCCAGGGCATGGCATCAATGTGCTCAGATGGTGAGCTTGAACTTAAGCCTTATTGCAGGGGCAGGTTGGAGGGAGATAAGGTCTTTAAACTGAGTGCTCTTCGGTGGTGGTGGTCCTAGTCCGACAGAAAGGAAGGACAGAGAGGCAAAGCTGGGTCTGGAAAGAGCTATAGAGGTTGAAATCCCAGCAGTGAAAATTTCTAGATTATGGTCAAGGATAAACAGACTTCAAAAAGACAGGAAAAGTAATCAAGCAAACTTGCGATTTCCAAGGGGAGACAAAATTTGCTGAAAATAGACTATTTTTATTTGATTCCCTTTGAGCCCAAAAGCCAACATTTAAAGCATTTGTAATCATCTGCTTCATTTATTTAGCAAACTTCCTTATTCTGCTCCTATTAGGTGCCATGCCCTATGCTCCTAACAGGTTATGAAGGTGAAAGCAGCAGTACTCGCCTTCAGAACCCCCTGTGTCGTAGGGGGTTACAGCAAGGGGTGTAGGGGCGTCCCGGGGCTGTTGGGTAGAGGGCAGCTAACCTGCCCAAGGGACAGAGCAAAACCTCTCAGAGGAAGTCTTGAAATAAAGATTTCACGACAGGTACAATGTCGTCATTATCGTTATCATAACCATAAGCTAATAGCAATAACAATAGCTAACCTTAACCATGCTTATTTTATGGCAGGTGCCATGGGAGGCCCTTTACATTATCCCTTGTCATTGTATAAAATGGTTGCCATATGCAGTACCTTGTTTTACATACTTGTGTTTGCACTATCTGTTCAGGGCTGGTTCTAAATGCCATTGCTGCACCACTGTAAATTACGATACTTGCCAGAACACTGCTTCTCCCACTCTAGCTCCCTTACTAATACAGTGGAGAATTCACCAACTTACAAGAACTGGAACTGACTGCATGTTAGTCTCAGGCTGATTCCTATCCCCAACCCACTGATATCACTTCCCCGGAGTCCCACTGCTTACATATAGCCTGCACGAGTAGACCTAAATAGTGGGGCTCTTGCTGGCTTAGGACAGCATCCTGTCCTTAAATGTGCAAAGCCCTAAGTGCATGAAGTCTTGTGTAAAAATATTGTCAAGTTATCTGTGAGAAAAGACGCGCCCTTGCTTTCCGGGTAGTGGCTACCAATAATAACAGTGACAATAACAATAAGAATATTTAATATTTACTAAGGACTGATTATATTGTATATTTAGTATAGTGCATGTACTAACTGATTTAAACCTTACGTTTTTAGATACTGTTACTGTCCCCATTTTACAGACAGAGAAACCAAGGTCCAGATACAGGCCGTAGTTGGGAAGTTGAGTATGAGGTTGGACATAATAGGAAAGGTTAGATTGCAGTTAGTTCTCAGGCAGGTCAACCATGAGGAGCTCTGCCTCAGGGCACTGCAAAGCAGTAGTTCTCCAGTGTTCACAGAATCAAAATTAAGCTCTTTGGAAAGACCATCCCCAGTGTGCCCCTGACTTCTCCCCAACTCAACACACCCCATCTCAGCTGTGCTCCACCTACTCCCGACAGATCACAGCTCTTTACTTACCCAGGCTGTGTCTTACCTCTTGCCTTTGCAGTGGTTCCCTTGGCTCCAACTGCCCTTTCTCTTCCTCTTCATTGCTTGTTCATCCCACATTCAGCACCCGTCTGAAGGAGTCACCTTCCCCAGGAAGCTTGTCCAGACTTGTTAACAGCCCTCCATTACTCCTCCAATGCTCAACCACTCCTTCCTGTATAGATTCCTGCCCGGAAGCTGTGGGCTCACGGAAGCCAGGGGCTATAGCCAATTCATTTTATAATGCCAGCATTTAAAGCCCCTGTATAAATATACTGGAGTCATGATTCTCTGCTTATTGTCACCCTTTATTTGTTTTCCCCTATCGCTCAGCACTTCTAGACATTAAGGACAGCTTTGCCACTAAAACTGACAACTAAGCCTGACCCCTGCATTGGCTAAGATCGCACAGTTTTGTTCACTGTGCTTTACTTTTGGCATAAATCTGTGGTTCTTCCTCAAAGATGCCATTTGTTCCTTTTATGTCTTGATTCATCACATATTGCGGAGGGTGTTAGCTGAATAAGGCTTTTTGCTTCAAGAAAATGTTACCAAGTCCTGACATGATAAAGAGGAAAGCACCAGATGTCTGTCTGCAAGGAAAGCAAACCCTGGTCTGTGAAGAGTCAAGGGTGGCCAGGGCTCCCCAAGCATTTCCGGGCCTGAGGTTTGGCTCTGCGCGCTCCCTTGGGCCTCGTAACTGACCCCCACATTCCATTTCAGTCATCATACTGGAGAAATTCATCAACTTTACTGCTGATCTGAGCCTGGAAACTGGTGTCCGTTAGTGCTCTCAGTTTCAAGCTGAAAATTGAGACAAACTTGCTGGATAATTTTGACCAAAATAACACACAAGATTGTGTGCCATCCCATGGTTGGCTTAATTTCTCTCTTCCTTTGAGCTATCAAAGCTTTCTCAAGGCGTACATAGTTGTCCGTGAAACAGATCATTCACACTTGGAATGTTGTAGTGCCCAATTTAGGGCAAGGGGTAATAAAACAAAGTGTTCTCTGATTTGTAGCAAGGAAATGGAGGGTGGGGGTCTAGATCACGGTAAGAATAAAAACTTAGGATTTCAAAGCAGTGGGTAGATTTTAGAGGATTTTCATAAAATGCAATTTTCCTTTCTGGTTACGTTAAAATCAATGTGTAGTACATAATCCACTCTAGTAAAATGTGTATTCTGTTTGTTTTTTGTCATAATTCTTTATTGCATTTGGGAGTAAATGAGCTTCTACAGATGAAGTTAATTTTAAAATTTAGAGAGAGAATAAAAAACACTCGCAGAACTAATAGTCATACAGAATTTAAAATATTAATTCACCAAAGCCTAACTTCACTTGGAAAACTACTCTGCCTGATAGGTCCAGTCTGAAAAAACTTACAAGGGTTAGCAGTCTGCAGTGTTTAACAAGAGGATCTTAGCGTCATCTGTTGGGTTCTATGTTATGGACACCAAACCCAACAGCTGCTTCCTACTGGTTAGCTAGGTGGGAGGAGTTAGTGAAAAAGGACATCGAAAAGTGGATCAGGACAAGCAGACAGGATTCGCCCAGCTCTGAAATTCAGGGAGGTGGAAGTGGGTCAGCTCACTGCCCGTGCATCTTCATTTTCTTCCTCTTCCTTTTTTCATATCAAAGAAAGATTTCTTAGCATTATTGTTGTGGGTTTCTATTGAGGACCAAAAGCATCAGCAGTTTCACTGCTTGAGGTAATGCTCACTGGTTGTTGTGGTCCTGGACCGTGCTGCCTCTCTAAGAATAACCTGGAGATAACATGATCTGACATGATCTGGAGAAACCCCCTTCTCCACCAAGCCCAGATAACACTTACTTACTTTTGTAGCTAAGATGCTTGCAAAGCAACTCAGTTCAACAGTTCAATGACAGCTACATTGATCATTTTCCATTTTTCCTGTTTTTAATACAACCTAATGCTATTATCAATAAAATAATAACTGCTTTTATACTAGATGACTCATTGCCCGTCTCACATCATTAAGTTCTGTGTTCCCCTTGTCCGGCTTTTCACTTCCCCTCATTCCTTCCCCAGTCCCAGGATTGCTCACATGTTTATTTCTAAGAATAAACTTTTTTGACTGAATCATTTTTAATACTGTTTTTAAAAGGAATTTATGTTCCTCCTTGTTTTCACAAGCAAGACTCAAGTTTGGACTCAAATGGTGTAGGAAGGCGTTTTTTTCATTGTTCTTGACTGTGTCTAGGCATGAGACCAGAGATGACTAAGACCAGAAGATTTTCATTTGCTCTGCTCTTTGTGAGTTCTTTTTAGAGGGCAGGTGCAATTTTTATTTTGGAAATAAAGAAAGAAACAGAGGGAGAGAATTCTTGTGAGTTTGGGCCAGGTCACATTTTGTCATTTGCAAGTGAGATTGTAACAGGGTCACATCAGACCATTTTTATGGGGATGACTAATGGTTTTCTTTGCTTTCTGTTCCAGCCACACCAGCTACCCTTGGCAGAGCATCCCAGAGTCTGCAAAGAGTTAATCCAGGCCTAGGGACAAGTAAGAATTTCAGTCCTTTTTCTGCCTTTGTCAATATTGTCCATGCTTTACTGTAATTCAAGCTACTGTCCTTTCTCTATTTTATTTGGGATATGGTAACTGGATGAATGACTGATTGAAATTGCAAAAGCAAGCAAAAAATTTTTTTTCAGAATTTCTTTTTCAATTTCTCTGCTAGGCTGCTACTTTATTTCTCTAATTTGCTTATCCATAGAGGTTAAGCAAGGCCAAATTAATGAGAAGAAAAAAAAGATGAAATAATTTATTGTGGACAAACAATCAGTTATTGAATTTAGGAACCTGCCTCTTTTTACAAGTCCTGAATTATATCATCATTATGATTCTGAGATTTTTTTTTTTGACTAGGGATCACACTGACAGATAGTTAAACTTGTCCCTTCAACCAAATCGCCTTATGCTCCAAAATTCTGCCTTCACTTGGGCTAACTCTTCTCCTTAAAATGCCTTTGTGCATCCCCCTCTTGTCCTCTGACAATCTCCTCTTCATCCCCAAGACTGAATTCAAGCATCAACTCTGTGGGGAAGCTCCTTCAGATCCTCAGGCCCAAAGACTTGTGCTTCTGTGCTTCCGTGGAACTCTGTCCACTGCTCCGTGATAGCATTTACCTCACGACATCTTAGTGTATATGTTAGCAGCAGCACAGAACTCAATGAGTTGTGTGGACTTTGTGAATTAATTAGTTATATTGAGCTTTAAGGCAAAGCCCATGTTTTATGCTTCTTCTAAATCCCTCATATTACCTTAAAAAAATCCTGATCACATAATAGGTACCTTTAATAAAGTTCCAGGGATGGATTTTTTTTCATCAGTTGAAGTATATGCTAGAGTCCACATTATACAGTAAAGGAAGGGACGACTGTGTACCTGAGTTTAATCCATTGCTGTTTCATTGGTAATTCTGGTCTCATGAAACCATAATTTGGATTTTGTGACTAAATTGCAGAGTACATTTCTAATGTGAGATGCAAACATCATTTCTTTGGAGGTGACTCAAAGGGAGAGTTGGTGCTGTTTTTAACAAATGTCATCTACTTGTCAGTTGTGCCAGACTACAAGCCCTTTACAACTCTCCTGTTTTAGAAGCATCTGACATGTTAATCTGCTCCCTAATTAAGGCAAGGGGTTGAAATAGGGGCTGTTGTTTGGTTATGTTGGGTTATCCCAGCCAGTATATTCCAAAGCCTTCACACAGCCAATGATGTGACTTATTGTTACTTTCTGTAAGGAAATGAGAAGGAATCAGTTAAGAATGTTTTACTAACAGTGCATGCTCCCTTCCACATTGGAACCCTCCCCACACATGCACAGACACACACGCACAATACACGGCACTCCACTTTCCTCCAAAATAGTAGTATGATTTGCCCAAGCCATTTTCTTTGTCAGGTCATAGGTCTGAGGAGTCTAATTGTTGGGCCTTGTTAAAATATAACCTCTGGATATGGTGGATGTGTTAAAGAAATTCCTGCCAGTCATTTGGTGTACGTTGATTTTCTGTTTTTTGTGATAAGTAAGAATACTCGCTAATTATCCTTCATCTGTGGTATATCACACAGACACTGACCTCCCCACACAAGGAAGAATCCTATCCTTCCAGCTTCTCTTTACCAAAAGTTACCTGCCCTCTGGCCCAGAACTGATTGGATAAAGCAGCCCATGTCAATGGATGTATCTGTATCAGTGGGCATCTACCACAGTGCACGTGCTTAGACGTGTGACCATATTTGTCATCTGAGCATCTCATTGAGATGTGACAGACCTTAGTGCTCACATCACCTCACTGTATCACCGTGTACACTGTCTGTATCACAAATGTTAACTTTGTGCTGTGCGCCCAGCGCTGAGGTCTGCACGCTGGAGGAGAAAGAGATGAGTAAGATGTTGTCCTGACATCAGGGAGCTCATATTCTCCCTAAGGAGATCATTTTACATGAAAAGCTAGTGTTCAACGTGAAATGTCCTGTAAATACACAGTTATAATTTACACATTTCCTATGTGCACTTTTCTAAATTCTCAGATTCAAAGCAAACCCCATAGAAGAAAACAATAAAAGCCCTCTCTGAGCAAGTCCTAGACAGAACTAACCAAACATAAGTAAGTGCCACTACCCGCTCCAGGCCACCTCTACTTTATCCTTGGACTAGTGCAATAACCCCTGAGCACTGTCTTCTTCCTCTCTCCTTCCACCCCAAACCTGTCTCTCCTTCTTTGTATCCATCTTCCTTTCAGTAACAATTTTAAGAACCCAGCATATCCCTCTGCTCTAAATAACCTTAACTATCTTTAGTACCCTCCCTGCTGCCTAAATTTTAAACTGCAAACCTATCCCAAGACACTGAAATCCACCATTGTCATCTCACCCCAGCTTGTAGGTCTAGACTACTCACTGCTCCCCAGGAACACTGTGCTTCCCTTCATCTGGGACTTTGCTCATGTCATCCCATCTTCTGGAACTATCCTCCTTCCACCTCACCCAGCATTCTGTAAATATAAATCCCTCCCATACTTAAAGGTTCAGCCAAAACACTTTTACCCTTGGCCTGAAGCAATCCCTCCCTTTTCTGTGCTCATCTATGTAAAAGGTCATGCTATTTCATTCTACTCTTAAGGAATATATTAAATACTGCTTTGGAGTATAGTTACTTGCATATTTCTCTTATCTACCCATCTGGATTATGAACAGCTGTGTCTTATTCGGAGTTGTATAACTCACAGTACATAAAATGATACCTTGAACATGGTAAGTAATAAATGCTGTTGCAAATGAATTAATTAATTGGAAGTATTCTTAATAGCTCCCTGGTTACCCACCCTTCTCCACACTTAGCAATTCCCACCAGCACCCCTTGTAATCATGGAGCCTCTTGGCTCACCAGTGCCATTCATGGAGGATGAGATCTCCTCACTCATGTTAATTACACATTAATCACCTTAAGTGTTCCATTGCTGAAAGGACTCATAGGAATCAAATGTTTTATACTCACAGGACAGCTTTCAGGCAAAGGATGCTGTACAGCAACAGTAGAAGAGGGGGGTATGCATTCACCAGGGTCTGAGAGCTCAAGTGCAGACCCCTTTGTCTACCGCTGCTCAGTCAGGATGCACTTTGTCTCCAGGTCTGGAACCACTACCCATGTGCCTGCCAAGCACCTCGGTACCAGGAAGCCCAAAGTCTGCTCATGATGGGGTTTCCTATAGTGAGCTGGTCATGTAGGCACATTCTAGCCATGTGGCCAACCTTAACCATAAGCCCCCACCCACCCACCCCCACCCCCGGTTCCACTGAATTTAGGTGCAAATCATAAATCTAATTATATCTAAGTAGCTTTGACAGGCTGATACATCCTGCCCTGAAACAACAGTGGGACCCATGACTACAGTACATCATTTATCTTTAATTAACACGGTTCATACACAGCATTGCTAAGCATCAGTAACTTGGGAGAAAAGCATGCAGTCAAACCAGACCAACTAAGATTAACCCATGCAATGCACCACCTAAAGAATCACCCCTTGCTCTAATCTTCTCTTCCTTCTCCCTTACCAAAAAGTATCTGTCCCATTTTCTAAGCCCTCAATGCTTTACTCTCTGTGTGGTAAAAAGGCATAAACCGTGAGAATGGGTGTTTGTGTGTTAATGGGCTCATGCTAACATACCTTCCACAGAGTAGATTCTTAAGAAATATTTTTTTGGAACGAAAGAGCTATTTTTGCTTAATAATCCCATGAAGACCTTTCAGCTCACACACATGGGTAGCAGCATACTTACCTATGCAAAGGCATAAATATGAGTTAAAACCCACATTCAGGATAAGAAGGCTATTGAGGGAGTTTACAGTTTAAAGAGATATACAGATATCTTTGTTATACTTTAAAGCAGTAATGATACAAACTTACCACAAAGAAAGCTGCTTTTTGTCGCTGGGGAGAGTAATGACGATGGTTAGAATCTTTTAGAGAAAAGCGAAACATTTTTAGTACTCCTGAAGAAGGCAGACGCCTTGGTTAGGGTGCTGTGGTTCCACATTCTTTGTGTTTCAATAATTTTATTTCTCATAGTTGGTTATTGGTAGAGGAATTGACGATCATTTGGGCCAAATACATAAGACTTATTAAACACATAGAGAAATTTTTAGATGATTGCACATCTTTCTGAGGGGGATTTTTCCTCTCTTTTTTTAAAGTCATTCCTTTTCACTTAATTTATGCCATATTACTATAAAAGTGTGAATTTTATGATCAATGGCATTTCCACCTCAAAATAAAATGAATATCCAACTGGAGAAAAATATTGAAGTTTCACTGGCTGCCCTTTGGAGCATAAATGAGTCCAAGATTTTATGAAAACAGGCATTCTGAACATAAATATCAATGACTAAGGTCAGAGTTAAGTTTTGAAAGGATTCCAAAATATATTAGATGGGCACAGCATATGAACTGCTTAAATTTTTCATAAGTTCACAAACAACTTCCTTCACAATCATGAGTTACTTTCACTTTTCAATACAAAACACTTTTATGAGGCAAAAATTTAACATAGCAGCCATCATCTTGCTTGTTCAGGTCCTTATTATATGTCCTTAGCTAGACTCCTGTCCTAGCCTCCTAATTTTTCTTCTCTACCTTCTATTTTTCCCTATTCCAAGCCATCCTACTCTCTGCTTCCCGATTCATTCTTCCTGCCTACCTCTGATCCAGTGATTCCTCTGCCCAATCAACTTCAGTAGCTCCCTGCTGTTTACTAAATTATGAATAAATTCATCTCCCTGGCGTTCAAGAAATTCCACAACATAGATTCTATGTGCTTTTCTAGCCTTATCTCCCTTGTGTCCTGTGTATACCCATGTTTACATCCCCTGCATTCCTGCTTCATTATATTATATCCATTTGTATTGACCCCCTTCACCAGAAATTTCCTCTCCCTACCTACCAGTCAGGAACAACTTTTCATGGATTTTGTCTTTAAGGCATATTTCA